GTTGGGAGAGGTAGAGTTTAGGTGGGGGAAAAAATTTGCGGTCCAGACTTTTTTTTTCCAGACCGTGCCTTCCCACCTTCCTTCCACCTTCCCGTGGTTAGGCCAAACCAGCCAATCATAGGGCTTGTCGCGGGGTTGCTGCTGTCGCTCCACTTCGCCCGCTTGGGCAGCAACGGCCGTGCAGTTGCCTTTCTGGGTCTCGCACCCTCACCCGCCGCCGCTGAACCCGCAGCATCCTGTCCTTCCCGCCTCGCCCGGCAACCGATCCGGGGCTAGACGTGGGGGGATTCGCGCGATATGATCCATGATCCGCGAAGCTTGAGGGGCTTAAGCTGTCGTGATGCTGCCCTGGCAGCTCGTCAGCCAGTTCGCCTTGTCCTTGCCCATCCCATGCTCCAGCTGAGAACCGAGAACCCAGTTCATGCCCGCTGTGGCCCGAGCCAGACCGAAGCGAGCTGGGCCGTGATTGCACAGGTGCCTATCTCCGCCTGCCTACCCCGCCTGCCTTGAGGTCCCCAACAAAGGTCCGCCAGCGCCAGCAAGCGGCACGATAGCAAGCACACCTGTGCCCCCCTCCCGTATGTACCCTGCAAGCCCGTCCGTAGGTGGAAGGAAGCGACAAGCGTACCCACCTGCGCCATCAACAGCCGAACCTTATTCCATCACTCAAGTATCAAAGTCTCTTCTCGTACATGTCTTTTTCGGCCCCCTCGGTACCTGTCAGCACGTGCTCGACGTCCTATGCTTCATGACCTCCATCGTGGTTCGTGGCTTTTTACGAAAGTAGGGGGGTCAACACACCTAAGATCAGAATTTGAGACAGTCGATGTCTGTGTCCTGTGCCTTATCATGGCCTGCCAACCACTCAGACCTGGCCGCCACAGTGACGCAAGATGTCAAACCCGACACCCCCCTCGGGCGAGATAGCCTCCCGTTTCTAGGTCACGCCTCTGTTTCCTCCTATCGCGACCCCCCATCGACCGGACCGCCCTTCTTGGCATCGGAGATGGCGACATGGTTACCCGACTCCTCCGGCGTTCCTCCGCTGCAGTTCCACTCCACCCTGGCGCAGGGCTGCGACCTGCCGTGTGCCAACAATGCTGGGCTCGCTCGCCCAGCGCACTTGCTCGCTCACCTCCCTCTGGCCTCATGGCTAGCCTCGACACCCCTTCCATCCGCGCCGACGGATCCCGCGGTAATCCCCCCTCGTAAGCGACGCCCGGCGGAATCTGCCACCGGTCAGAGCTCTTGAAATTGGTCATGTTGCCGTCCGCGGCGGTCCTGCGGCGTTTGGCACGCCGCTTGTCGGAACGGAGCTGGCTGCTCGTCTGCCAGCTAGCCTCGATTCGGGCGTCGCTGTCCGCTGCTGCTGCTATGGTTGCAGCCGAGGGCACCGGACACGCTTCCTGCGTCTCTTCGCTGCCCGCCAGCGGCGCAACCTACCGACCCATCCGTGCATGCGTACGCAGGTAGCTTGGCTCTCGCGGGCGGCCTCCTCTTGTCTCGCACTCAACGCACCTGCTCTCCACCTGCATCCTGTACATTCTCGGCTCTTGGGTCTATCTGCAAAGCAGGGCAAACAGACAGGCGACCCAGTCTGCTGGACACATTGCCTCGCTGCAGTCAAGTAACCTTTCTCGTTTCTGGCAGGCGAGTGAGCACATGCATGGGTGTGCATGATACAACGGTCGGTCTCCCTGCTTGTCCTATACTGACACACTACACGCACGTGTATTACGCGCACTCTCGTCTGGCCCTGTTTGGCCACCCTTCCACTGCTGCACGGCTGAGCACCCATCTCCCGTTCAAGTGTTGGCGTACGCGCTCCCTACTCCATTTCCTGACCAGGTTCAAGAGGCCGCAAGGATAGCAGTATGACGCCCATCTGCCCTCAGGCGAAAAAAGACACATGCCGCCCATTCACAAGCTTCCCCTTGTGTTACGTCGCATATGTGGCTGGCGTGCTATGCCGTCCACATCACTTATTAACCCCAGGATTTAATCAAGCTGCGTCGACATCACCTGCGGCAGTCGTAAGCGATGGCCAAATCCAACAGACGTGGGATACAAACCGGCAGCGACCGTGACATGAAAGCGAGCGACATTCATCTAGATGATATTGCCTGCGTCTGTGGGGTAAGTGCCCGAGCCATTCGGGAAGCAGTGCAGAAACCGCCTGTACTCCTCCTGAATTTGAATGGGCTCCCAAGCTGAGCCTGCTGCTTGACTTCCTGGGGAACAGTGGGTCAGAAGGTCGTCTTTCGGGGCTGGCCTATTTTGCCAATTTTACCCATATTGCCAGCACTACCGATTCGGCCAATCCGCGCTCGTCTCCTTCCCAAAGGGGGTGGGCCGCGCAGGGCCCTCGGCTTTGTGTTTGTATGCATTCCACATCCTCGATGATGGGCTAGCGTCCGGACTCGGGAGACTCCTTTCTCACCAGCTTTGTCAGGCTTGACAAACAACCACCTCAAGAGCTCGCTTGAGGGCCATGCTGCTACCCTCTACCGTCCTTTTACTTGCTGCTGTATAGCTTCGGTGACACAACCGCAACCTCCGCGGCGTCCAAGGGACGATTGCCGGGCTGGAAAAACTCTGTGCAATTAGCAGCCATGGCCAGTGTCACTCCGGACGCCTGCAGCGCGAGGGAAACAGGGAACCAACAATGCCATCCGCCGGGATCCCCAATGCCACGGCAAGCCAAGTCTGGTTCCTGGAACGCCTTTCCGAAGTCCAAGTCGGAAGGCTCCTAGACATGGCCGGAGTGGGAGGGTGAGGCTTCCACGCCGTTGCGGCCACTCCCCATCTCCATCCTCCTGCTTGCTCACACTGTTGTTTCACTCCTCCCCGGTGGCATCTATCTCCTTAGCGCCGTGGATGCCGTTCTCCCCTGGGGGTGTGTATTGTTCACCCCAGGCCATGCTCCCCTTCATACGCCAAGGATCCCCGTAACCCATGCGCCGCTGTGCCAACGTACCTTCTTCTTAGCTTTCATTTATCGGCCCCCTTCACCTTCTCCATGTACCCCACAACCCGGCAGCGACCCACCGACCACGGTGCAGGGAGTGCGCTATCACTTCCTTCCCCTTCCGTATGGCCTTCCTAATGTCTGGTCGGCTTTGTGCGGGCGACGGGATACGGCATATACAGCCTCCGTTATGGCCCAGTCCACCTGTCAACGGCAGCCTGAGACCCCGCCGTATACCTAGGCCTCCTCCTATGAGACAGCCCCTGTCAGTAGGGATACGGCAATAACGCCGCCAAGATCTGGTACCGGCGGCAGTGGCGGTGGATGCTGCGGCGTGTGTAGGGGCACGATACGATGTGGGATCACCGATGATGCATCCGGCTGTCCCAAGCATGAGTGATTCCCATCCACCGAGTGGCCTACCACCTGCCTGGCCGCAGGGACTCGATGGATGGTCGTCTGCGTCTAGAATCCAGACGCCTAGGCATATATAATACCATGCCCTCCTCGTGCTTCTAGGCCCTCTCCTCCTGGTGGTCTCCATATTGCAGTCCCAGCACAGCTTCAGAGGACCACCGCCGGTCTCCCATTTGTGATAAGCACATACCAACCATACACTCGAAAGCCTTGCCGTGCTTTTTCGATCACTTGTCCGATCCAGCCATTATATAATCCGTCCCTTCATCCTCCCTTCCTTCACCAACCTACCTGGCGGAGAAAAGAAACAGACATCGACACTATGGCAGGACCTGCCGTAGGCAGCAACCCCGCCTCGGGTGGTAAATGGGGAGGACGAGATCCGGCTGTGGCGATGCAGCGAGAGCAGATGAACTTCCGAGTGGCCACCAACTATGCTATCTTCCTGGCCTCCATCGTTGGCGTCTTCATCATTCTTCACTGGTCAAGGTACTTGGCCACCACAGCACAGCAGTCAGCCAAGGCCCCATCATTCCCGAGATTCATTTCTGTGCCCTTTATCAGGGTGTCGAGGTATGCATCCCTCTTCCCAGCCGTGCAGATTAGGCCATCTCACTGGGGACAGGCCAGTCAGTCATGCATCTGAAGACATGCTTACAAGCTACTGTGTAGGCTGTTGAGGAATGTCCTTCTCAGGCAAGCCCCCGGCTTCCACTCATCAGGGCATGGCGTTCTCGTCGCAATCTATGTGGCCGTCAACGTGGCCATGATCTTCACAAACCTTGACATGAGCAAGAACTCCAACATTGCTGCAAGGTTCGGCTGGTAAGTGAACTGTCGGCCACTCACAAGTGCGGATACATTGATGATATCAACAAGCAAGAAGATGGGCTAACATGTCAACTTTAGGTTGGCCACAACTAACCTGGCCTTTGTCGTCTTTTTGGCCTTGAAGAACACGCCGCTGGCCATCCTCACATCCTACTCGTACGAGCGGCTCAACAACCTACACCAGATCGCCGGCTGCACGACCTTTTTGATGCTGGTCATGCACGCGTCGCTCTACACACAGTACTTTGCCGCCATGGGCAGGTGGGACAAGCTGCAGGAGCACGAGCAGATCGCCGGCATCGTCTCGGCGTTTGCCTTCCTCGTCCTAGTGGCGACGGCGCTGCTGGTGAGGCGGTTCTGTTACGAGGTCTTTTACGTGGCGCACCTGGCGTCGTTTGTCACGGCCATCGTGGCTATGGCCTTCCACCGGCCCGAGTTCGAGCACAAGACGGCCATCATCGCGTGCGTGGCCGGCGGCCTGTGGGTGCTGGACCGCGCCGTCCGCATGGCGTGGCTGGCCGTCAATGGCGTCAACAACGAGGCCACCGTGTACCCGCTCGCCGGCGGCGGCACGCGCATCATCCTCGCCAAGCGGCCCGCCCGCGCAGTCCCGGGCAAGCACTGCTTCGTCTGGATCCCCTCGGTCCGCCGTTTCGAGACGCACCCCTTCACCGTCATCGACACGGCGCCCATGGAGTTCGTCGTCAAGACGAACAACGGCTTCACCCGCGACCTGCACAGGTTCGCCGTCGCCAACCCGGGCGCCACGGTGCGCGCCTCGGTCGACGGGCCCTACGGCACCTTCCCGGACCCCATGCTGTACGACCGCGTCGTCCTGATCGCCGGCGGCAGCGGCGCCTCGTTCACCTTCGGGCTGGCCGTCAACCTGCTCGAGCGCATGGGGCCCGAGTCGACCAAGAGCATTACGTTTATCTGGATCGTGAGGAAGCATGGTACGCTTTTTTTCCCCTTTGGTCTCGTCTCGAGTTACTTACTTGGGTGCTCGGTCCTAGCATGACATGGCATTAGCTGACCCCGTCGTCGATTGGAACAGAAACACTCACCTGGTACGCCGAGCATCTGAGGACGCTGCACGATCACCCCAACTCGCCAAAATGCAAAATCTCCCTGTTCGCCACGCGGGCGACCCAAACGTCTAGCTCGTCCTCGGACGAGGCGGCCGAGACGCCCCGGCTCCGAACATCAGGCATCGACAACAGCTCGACTGAGCGGTCGCCAGCGTCGCCGGACCTGGAGAAGGTGCTGCGGGAGGCGCTGCCGGCACCAGCGGACGACTACGACGAGAAGAAGGTCGAGGTGCACGAGACGCACAGCGAGGCGCGCATCGTCGACGACGACAAGGAGACCGGGACGACGGCGGCAGCGGCGGGCACGGACATGGAGGCGGCGTCGCAGAGCGGGGCCAGCGCGTCCACGGCGGCGGCGCTGCCGCTGCGGCACGCCGTGACGGCGGGCCGGCCCGACGCGAGCCAGGTGATCCGCGCCGCCGTGGCCGAGACGCCGGCGCACCAGCGCGTGCTCGTCGCGGTGTGCGGGCCCGGCAGCCTCGTCAAGGTGGTGCGCGACACGACGGCCGCGTGCATCCGCGGCGACGGGCCCGGCATCGAGCTGCACTGCGAGAAGTTTGGTTGGTGAGGGATGGTTCAATGTTTTATCATGTCGGCTCTCTCTCTCTCTCTCTCACTCTCTCTCTCTCTCTCTCTCTCTCTCTCCCTGCTGTTGAGAGCCCCGACGCACTTGCATTCGCCTTGTATATAATTATTGCACCAAAAGCCACCGGACTTGGGGCAAAATCCGCGACGGCACTTTTTTTTCCGGTCATTTCTTCTCTTTTGTCGGGTAGTCATGGCTAGGATATCACGATATAAATCTACAAGGGTAATTTTACGCGCTAAATATGGTGCAAGTGACGAGGAAAATAAAAGATATATAAAGACCGCCACCATAGGCTACTCGGCGGTCGCCGAGCCCTCGGCTTCCCTCTGCTGCTGCTGCTGCTGCTGCCTCTGGATGCGCGTCTCCTTGTAAAAGAGGTTCTTGATGTCGTTCGCCGTGATGGCGAAGCCCGGATTGTGCTTGTTGACGTAGTCGGCGATGCGCTGGGGCGTGGCCTTTGGCTGGCCCTTGAGGGCAAAGATCTGGTCGCGCGCGAGCTCAACGTGACGGCGCCTGTTGACGGGGATCTCGGCCGCGTTGGCGGCGAGCGGGTGGTTGTGCACGTGTGCGCGGGGCTTCTGCTCGAAGCGCCAGAACTTCCGGTCGACGCCGCCGATCTCGTCGGACCGAATCACCTTTTGCACCAGCGTCGCCGTCCACCTGCAGCCGCGGCGGCGGCGGCTGGTGCGGGTGCCCGTGCTGGTGCTGGTGCGCTTGCCGTCGCGCGGCGAGGCCGAGGTGCACTCGAGGTCGATGCGGTACACCTCGCCCCGCTCGCCCGCGGCGCGCTGGCGCACCGTCTGGTTGCGCCGGGCCGAGCGCGACTTGACGACGCCGAAGCCGGACGCGGCAGCGGCGCTGCGCACCGACTCGAGGCCCGCCGAGGGCTCGGCGAAGACGGCGTTGGCGAGCATGATCCACGGGTTGATCGGGTCGCCGGGCGCCGCGCCGGGGTGGTTGAGCGCCGCGGCGGCGGCCGCCGCCGCCGGGTCCGGGAAGTAGGGGGAGCCTGAGAGTTGTGCTAAGGGGTCGGGGTTGTTGACGGGGGAGTTGCCGTCGTTATCATTATCATTATCATTATCATCGTCGTCGTCTTCATCGCCAGTTTGGTTGGGGCCCCTGATCTTGCAGCCGCCGCCCCTCTCGAGCTCGGTGTGCGTCGACACGGGCGGCTGCAGCTGCTGCGATATCTCGGGCGTGTTGCGCGACGCCGGCGCCTCGACCCGGAATACGGACTGCAGGCCCGCGAACGGCGTCCGCGCCGGCCGCATCCGCTGCAGCCTGTGGTACGACGGGAGGGAGGCCTGCGGCTGCGGCGGCGGCGTCGGCAGAGGCGCGGGGACAAAGGCCCGCGGGTGCTGGGGCGCAGGCGCGGGCGCCGCCGCAGCGGGGGCTCGCGTGAGGGACGCGGGCGCCTGCTGCGGGGTAGGAGGGAAGGGGGAACGGAAGGAGGGCGGGAAAGGGGCCGGTGCCGGCGTCGTTATCGGCGTCGGCCGCGCCGCCGGCGCCGCTGGCACGGCTGGCGGCGCGTCGAGGAATACTGAGAAGTCGAGGCTGTCGTCGTCGTCGTCGTCTGCAGCAGGAGGTGGTAGGGGTGGTGGGGGTGGTGGCAGGGGCTGGCGCCGAGTGGACGCCTGGCCGGTATTCGGAGCCATGGGATGGATGCCGCAGGGGGCGGCCGATAGATGGCTTTGATGGACGTAGTGTTTCTTCAAAGCGCAGGAGGGTCAAGCACCAAAAAAAAAAAAAAAAGGCAAAACAGACACGCCAGGCACGAAATTCGGACGGTGGATGTGGGTCACCTGTCTGTTTGCTTTGCTTGGCGCTTATCTCAGCACCACCTTCAGCTCGCATCTCATCTACACCGGCACACAAAGCCGCTTCGTCTCGGCATCGCGGAACCTTGTCCACAAATAGAACATGGACTCAAACTTCCCGTGTTGTAAAATCCATGTATGCAGCTACCCACGTGTCCGAGCCCGCGTGCGTGCGCACATGCGTGGGTGGGGGACTAGGCATATCGATATTGGCCGTCGGTGACGGAAGACCGAGTCCCGGAAGCAGACAGTCCGCCCAGGCACATGGCTCGCTTAGCTCTTGTCTCTTGGGAAGTCGTCGAGGGTGGTTAGCATTGCTTGGGGGAAAAGGAATCTGCACACTGAGCACGAGTGCGCCTAGACACGAGTACAATAGTGTATATACATCGAAAAACACAGGCAGTGAGGCGAGAACCAGAAATAAAATGCTTAATAGATATCCATTGAAATAGCAGGGCAACCAAGGCATATTCTTCATCTTGGAATAGGGAGGAGCCGAGGATGAAGCGTCTGTGATATCAGCAATAGGAGAAGTCGTACCGACTAAGACCGCGAAAGTGCCGCCACAGCAACGACCAACGAGCGTAGGTGTATTCCAACCCACCCCGCTGACGCATTTGGCTTTCTTTCCCACTCCGTCCAGCCTCTGAAGCAGCCAGAGACAGCCTGGCCTGGCCGCCGGCGGTTCACTACCAATGGCTGCTCTCCGCAGGTTGCGACGGCAGTACGGATCGTTTAGGACTTCACAAAGTCGCGGCTCCTATCGTCTCTGAAGGAAGGTATCAACTAGTTGCCCCTCCTGCCACCAGTGCTCATGAGCGTGATCTTCTGCTTCTTTTTCTTCTTGCCACCACCGCTCCCTGCGTTGCCCCCGCCGCCATTTGAAGCCACTAGCGGCGTCGAGCCACCCACACCAGCGTCCTCAACGCCCAGAGCCTCCATCTGCGCAGCGATGTCGGCTGCGCTAAGACTCTCCAAGAAGGCGTCGTCCTTGAGCCACCCATCGTCTACGTTCGTCATGACCTGCCTCCTCGCGACCACCTCAGCTGCCGCGTCCGCCGTCGGGGGCACCGCGGCGGGCGTGCCCCAGACCGTCCTGGGCGCCGATGGGCTTGTCGACATGCCAGCCAGCTCCGAAAATCCATTGCGCGGGTTCGGCGGTGTGGTGCCGCCCAGCGGGATGAAGTCGTCGGGGTTGACTGCCCTATCGCCGCCGCCGAACCGAATCCGAACCTCCTCCTCGGTCGCCGGCATCATGACGGTGCGGCGCGCCCCGCGCATGGCCGCCGCCTCGAGCCGCTCCGCTTGCTGGCGCTCGCGTTCCTCCTGTGCCTCCTTGTCACGATTCCGCTTGCGCCGCCGCTCGATCTCGTCGGCGAAAAGGACCAGGATCTCGGCCGGCACAATATCGGTCCAGTCACATTCCAGGAACGATATCTCGCATCCGTAGGGGAGGTGGTACAGGTATTTCGCCCGTTTCCTCGTCAGGTCGTCGACCGACGTCGAAACTATGTGCTCGACCCTCGGCAGCAGCGCCGACGGGAACGACGAGAAGTCGCCGTACTGCGTCTTAAGTATCCGTATGTCCAAGGGTGAGAGGTATAAGTGCGGCTGGCATGTGTAGAAGTAAAATTCCGGCTCGGGCCCTTCCGCCTGTGGTTCGGTCTTACCATTGCCCGTCGGCGGCAGAGAGACACCCAGTCCTTCAAGCTCCTGCAGCTTCTGCTTGGCTGCCAGGATAGATTTGATGGCGCGCTGGGTCCACTCGTTGTCCTCGTGGAACATCAGCTCGTCCTCCTTCTCCTGCAGCTTGATGGCCTGGATCTCCTCGCCGTGCTGCTCCATCATGTAGTCGCCCGTGCCCTTGATGATGCGGGCGTAATCGAGGATGTTTGCGGCAAAGTGCCACGGCACGTCCTGGCCGACATTGAGGATGTCGACGCCCGTCTCCTTGGGCAGGGCCAGCGTCGACCTGGCCTTGCGCACCATGAGCCGGAGCACGACGTCGTCGCCTGGCCGGGGCATGGGGCTCTCCTGGCCCGCGTAAAACCTGACGGGGCGGACCTCGGATATGTAGATGCTGTCCTCGCAGATGGGGCACTTCTTCCAGCGCTGCCGCCTGTCCATGCCCGGGCCGCCGCCGCGCGGGCGGTCCTCGTCGTCCGAGGACGAGTGCATGAAGCGGATCAGGCAGGGCAGGCAGAAAATGTGGCCGCACTTTGCCATGCGTGGGGCGACGGGCTCCGAGAGGCAGATGGGGCAGGTGCCGGCCTGGGACTGGGACGAGGCGAGGACCTGCAGCACATCGGCCCAGTCGAGGTGCTCGTCGGCATCGGCGGCCTGCTTGCGGTAGTCGCCCCTCGGCGACACGACGAAGCGGTAGTTGGCGTGGACATAGCGGGCCTTGTCAGCGGCGTGGTGGCCCGAGCCGATGCCCCATGTCGGGTTCCGGCGGTACGCGCCGCGCGAGGAGGAGCCGTAGCCATGGCCGTGGGTTTCGGCATATGGGCGGTGCAGTGACGAGTAGTTGAGCAGGTGGGTTATTGAGGTCTGGCCGCGGCGGTTAGTCGGGTTCCGGACGGCACTGAGTTCTGCCATGGCGTCATCATCCAGGTCGGGAGCCTCGGACTTGAAGGGGCGGCGCTGGTTTCGGTGCTGTCTGCGCGAGCCCTGTGACTTTCGCGGCGCCGGCTGGGACGAGGGGCCCTGGAGCGGGCGACGGCTCGAGTCGAAGCTCGGTGCAGCAGTGGACGGGGCCGCGGCAGCCGGCGGGTGGGCGTTGGCTGTCGGAGCGGAGAGGGACTTGCCCAAGCTGTTCGAGGCCGAGCTCATGATGCTCTCTCGCCCTTTGATTTGTCAACTACCGACGCCAAGGCAGGACAGGCACTGGCGACATTGGCCTGCCCACTGGCAAGCAGAGGCCGGCAATGGCAAGAGTATGCAGCCACTGCACCAAAGCAAGTAAGTAAGATGGGACAGAGGCAGGGGGCAAGGAAAAGAGAAGGCTACGAAATCAAATGGACAGGTCAATTCAATCAGGCTCGATGCTGTTGGACTCGTAGCTGGGGTCCTGGGTGGGAAGGACCCCAGGCGTGGCGTTCAGGAAATCAATCAGCCGAGCTGGGAAGCACCGTCCGTCCAGGCAGAAGGGGCAAATTGAGAGTCAGGACTGGCGAGCAGCAAATGGGTGGCGGGGCAAAGCAGCTTGGAATCACATCACCCAGTGCACGTGACCTGCCTCACCACCCTCGCATGATAAGATGTGCGTGATGACGACTTTAGTTTCCAGTAGGTACCTCACCCGCATCGGCGACACAACTCTAGGACCGCATTGAGGCCGGATTTCAGGAGCCTCTGCATTCAGCTTCCTGCATGGGAAACCAGTGATTCGACCAGTCCCGATTGGACGTCTAGATCCCACATCGCTTCCATTGAGGTTTACACGACACCCACTATCTGCGAGCCCTCGAGCGCTTCGGCAAAGACTCGACTCGGACTCGAGAGCTTGTTTATCAAAGCGACAAGATCAATCTTTAAATCTTGTCTGCAAAACGAACCCGGCCTGATTATGCCGCGTAGTGCGAATTATAGGAGTAGACTAGGTTTATGGTACATAGGTAGATGCTTCTTTTTTCTTTTCAGAAGTGGGCAGGCGAAAGTAACAAAACCCAAACGACCGTCAGAACAAACCGAGA